AATGTAGATTCTAGACCAAATATGTTCTTAATAAAATGATATACGAATTGGATTTTAATCTAGTTAATATTGGGGAAAAAATGTAAGCCACTATACTCGACAATATCTAATAATAGTTATTTAGGCATAATAATCTCACTATAGAGAATGAACCAAAAATACTGGGGTGAAAAAAAAAGTTTTAGCCTACTTATGGCATATATTCAATATTGAAAACAATTAATAGTAAAATTATTTAGGTGTATTTCATAAAAATTCATTCAATAATTACTCTGCAGAAGATACTATGGTACGGCCAAGGGATGATATAATGAGTAAGGAATTAATGAGTTAGTCCAATAGAAGGCTAGAATACAAACACATATAGACTCAAGGTAAGATGGAAATTGTTCAGAGTTATTAAAGAGGCACATCTAATATTTAAGGGCATTCAGAATGTGAATTGTCTGTAATTAAATTGTGATTCAGAGAAAAAAGCATGCAAGGGTAAAATTTGAGTAGGAATTTTCAGAGTCAGTAAGATTTTAACAGCTAAGGTACAATGTGCATGCATTTATATGGATATAAATATTAATTGAGAAAGAATCTCAATGGATTTTATTTATATATGTTCACAAAAGAGTGGATTATAGTATGTTGAAAGGAGTACGGATAGGAAATATAGGAGATAAAATGAAGGTTAAATCTACTCCAGAAACAAGCATGAAGAATATCAACTTATATTATGTCAACTCTAAAAATTGTAGAGATAGACATAATATAAGTGACATGACAGGGCTTGTTCTGATGGCCGGTCCTGGCCCCATTCTGTGGTCGAGTTTCTCATTACCTGCAAATTTGGATATCATACACATTAAGGTTCCATCTCCAACATTCAAAACATGGGCTAAGGAACAGTCATTGTTGAAAAATTTTCAAGTGTCACTTCATCTTTTCCTAAGAAAATAATATTCGACTGATCATTTTTCTAAAGGCATTTTTGACATCTTTGTTCCTTAGACTGTAAATCAGGGGATTCAACATAGGTATAATCAACGTATAGAACACAGAGGTCACTTTGTCAATATCCAGGGAATGATCTGTGCTGGGGCGCAAATAAATGAAGATCAGGGTACCGTGGTAGATAGTGACAACGATCAGGTGAGAAGCACAAGTGGAGAACCCCTTCTTTCTTCCCTCAGCAGAACCTGTCTTGAGAATAGCTGCTATGATGAAAACATATGAGAGAAGAACTGTTAGGAGACAGATAGCTTCAACCAAACTAGCGAAGACTACAAGAATGATGTCATGCATGTAAGTGTCAGTGCAGGACAGAGAAAACAGTGGTGAGATATCACAAAAGAAATGGTTAATGTCTTTGGAACAGAAAGAGAGATGGAATGTGTTGGTGGTGTGAACAATGGAGCTCATGGTGCCTCCCAAAAACGCTCCCATTGCAAGCTGGCAACAAATCCTCTTGGACATGATAACAGTGTAAAGTAATGGGTGACAGATTGCTATGTACCGGTCATAAGCCATGGCAGCCAAGAGGAAAGATTCTGTATCAACCAAAGAACAGAAAAAATAGAGCTGTGTAGCACACCCATTGTAAGAAATTATCTTCTCATCAGAAACCAAGTCCACAAGCAGTTTTGGAGCAATGACAGAAGAGTAGCATGCATCTATGAGGGACAATATGCAGAGGAAAAAGTACATAGGGGTGTGCAGGTCAGAACTGATTGTGATTACTAAAATCATCCCAATATTACCCAGCAGTGTCACAGAGTAGATGGAGAAGAACACAGCAAAAAGAAGGCCTTGAATTTCTGGGTGGTCACTGAATCCCAGGAGGAGGAACTCAGTGTTCACTGTGCCATTCTCTTCCTCCATCTCTGTGCAATGCTTTGGGAGTTCTGTAGCTGTGACAGAGCAATGAAGACAATGTCAACAATAATTTAATTAAAGCTAAAATGCCAAAATAAATACTCATTCTCAAATTTACTGGAACAACCTTAGAGTGCCTGTTGTTGTTGTTGTTGTTGTCATAGCAACCCCTCCTTGGGGCTATACAGATTGTTTGTCTCTATAATGTGCTGCTGTATCTAAGGGAAAGTTACCACCTCTGAAATGATGCAGCCTTAAGTGCCTAGAGCTTGGTTAGCAGGCTGATAGTTTTGTGGAAAGAGAATGTAATCCATTATTCAGATGATCTCAGATATTTGTCAGAGAACACCTTGACTAATGTAGAACAATGGGATTCCACTTGACATTCACACTCCTAGACTGGAGCTTAGATACAGTGCTGTTTGAGCTCTGTCCCTCAGGACTGTTCAACACTTGAGCAGGACAAATAATCTTGTAGCTTCGATTTCATCTATAAAATGACAAAGAGAGTACCGCATCAAGTTGTAACGGTAATGTTTCAATAAATTTCCATTTACAATCTCAATATCCCCACCATCTTGTTCCTCTGTGGTTTGAATTGGCAGCATTGCAAGTGCTAGGGATATGCCATGCATCTTCTCCTCGGATGCCAGAATCTTTGGGTCAATCCAGACGTTTGTTTCATCCAGAACCCAAGCCATGGAATGCAACTTGAGAAATCCTTATACTGATAAATGTATTCTTTGTCAACCCAGGCTACTGCTTTAATTATATCCAACTCATCTCTATTCTTTCTATATGTAGGGAAAAAAAAAAAAAAAAAACCTGTAAAATATTTTGAAATGGGCTTATCTGTCCAAGCATCTGGGTTATTTCCAGTTTTCATTGCCATTATCCTATTTTACTATTCTGCAGTATGTAGACAGTCAATAGCTGTGCAAAGATACTTGTCCATGGACGTGTACATTTTTTCCAGTGGAAAGGGAGTTGATGTCCCTCTCCTTTGTGGAAAATGCCAATTGTGTAACTAGTTGTATGTATTTGAGCATTTCTGATGGATAAAATTGTGCTTTCCTTTATACTTCTCTTTGGAACAGTTGTTATTCCATGCCATGTCACCAGTTTGTTGCAGGTTTTTAAGAAAACTCAACTTCCTTATTAAAGTTTGCATATATTTAGAGTAAATAAGCAGAGTTTAACCATCAGAAGAGTTATTCTCTGACTGCAAAGAATGAAGTATAGATATGAATGTTTAAAAAATCTCTAATATTGTTCAAAGTTTGTTTTTTCTACCTAGAAGCTCTGGTGGTGTAGTGCCTAAGGCATTTGACTGCTAACCAGAAGACTGGAGGTTCAAACCCACCATCCACTCCTCAGAAGGAAGATCAGCAATCTACTTCTGTAGTGATACCGCCTCGGAAACCTAAGAAGGGGTCAGTATGTGTCGGATTTGACTCAACCACAGTGAGTTTGGTTGGTTTTGGTTGCTCTCCGTCTGGCTAGCTAATTAAATGAATTCTTAGCAAGTGTGACATATCTGGCTTTAACATATTTTGATGCTATAATTTCCAAAATATTTCCAAATTTACTTTTCACAACTCTTTAGGAGATGTTAAGATTGACTATCTTTTAACATTACTGAAAGCAATCTGCTAATCTTAGGCTATATGACCAGCCCAGGGGTGCATAACTCTGCAATAAAAAAAGATTGGGTTGGACTTTGGTGATTCTATACAATTGGGTTAAAGCATTCTCTACCAAGGAGATAATTAGATTTCTAATTATATTACAGAAGTCCCTGGGTGTTGTAAATTACTAAACATTGCATTACCATCTGAAATGTTAATTGTTTGAACCTACCCAGAGTTGCCTAAAACCCTTCCAGTGGCTCGTGGAAGATAGGTTTCATGAGCTTCTTCCAAAGGCCCCAGGCTAAATATGGAACAGTTCTACTCTGCACACTGGGGCTGGCATAGTCAGAATCCACTTCATTGCAACTAACAATAATAGCTAGAGTTCATTAATTCTGGGTGTCATCTTAAAAATCCAATGTGCTAAGTGTGCTTTTTTACTGTTGTTGCTGGAAATATCTTAAGGATTTACAACCTTGTTATTCCAGGCATGAATTTCCTTCAGATGTCAGATTTCTATGTGTCAAAGAGGTGACTATAAGGAGATGATCTCCTAGAACACCATTCCGCCACAAAATTGTATGATCCTGTTAAGAATACTTACCAGATTAATGACTTTCTTTCACCCACCTGCTTACTACACACTGTCAGCCTCATTTCGTTTTTCGATGGGAAAATCAAAGATGACATGTAGAGATGAAACAATTTTCATTTCACTGCAACATTAAGAGAATCCATTTGAGACATGCTTCCTATGTTCATAGAAAAAGTGTTTGCCTCCCACAGGAAGGTTTTGGTTCTTTAGAAGAATGCAAAGCCCTTTTAAACTTTGCTTTGAGGCCTTTGAGATCATCTTTCTGATCACCCCTCAGTCTCAGGGACCTACACTCTCATATCTAAACCCCAAAGGGAAAAGGTGTGTGAGCAATTAAATCATTCTAATCAGGACCTGGTTAAACACAAATAAAATGATGTAATATATTTTTAATAAAATCTGAAGATGTCTCAAATTAATGTATCTTGATTATCAAAATGGTAGATTATTAAACAGAAAATTGGATTTTGTCTAAATAATTTATCAAACAAATGTTGGAGTATTCCTTGTAAAAGAATAGCCCAATGATCAAGAAAGAAGCAACCATATAGCTAGGTATCCATGGAAATACAGAGGTAGAAAGATCCTGAAATTCAACACGGCAAAGGAGAATCAACTGTGAAGGAAGTTAATAACTCTGATATGTGCTAAAATTCCTGTTTATCAGGGTCCAAACTGAATGCTGATGATCCAAGACCAGGACAGGTCAGAAATTATTTATTTGAATAAAATATCTATGTCACATTTCATGACAGGCACTGTTTTGGGCACAAAGAAGAAGAGAGGGATGATTTGAACTGGGCATGAAGGGTTTGGCAAAGTATAAGTAGAATAGTGAGTGAAAGAAAGTAGAAAAATAACAGAGTGAAAGAAAGTAGAAAAATAACAGCAATGATGTCAATGAGAGGAAAGTCCATGGCAAGCTTGGAGACTTTAAAACGATGTTTAGAGAGAATGTGCTATCTATTGAAGAAAGGTATGGAAGGAAAGATATATTTGATTAATGCAAAATGGTCTTGAATTCCACTGAGTAAAAATTCTGAGCTTTGTAAACAGGGGAATTCAATATTGAAGGTTCCCATGAGAAGATTAACCAACACCAAACCAAACACACTGCCACTGAGTTGATTCCAACTTATAGTGACCACCATTGGGTTTCCAAGGCAGTAAATCTTTATGAAAGTATATTGCCCGTCTTCCTTCTGCATGAGAAAATTAGAGTTCTAGGCTATTGATACATTAGTTCAATTCTTCGCAACATGGGTGATTGTGCTTCTCAGGGAACTTTTGACAATGCCTGGAGACATCTTTGCTTTATAACTCTTAAGGGTAAGTCAGGGAAAAGAGGCAGTATTGCAGTATTCATCCAATGAATACAGGTCAAGGATGATTCACAATGTCTACAGTACATAGGACAGAACCCCATAACAAAGAATTGTCTGGTCCAAAGTATCAAAAGTCAAAGTTGGAAAACTCTACTCTATTCGGAGTTTCAATTTTTCTTATCTTTATCTTAAAATGCAAAATACCTCAGGTAATATGAGAAATCTCACCTTATTTAAAACATTTAAAATTCAATGCAATGCAATATTTTCATCTTAAAAGCAACATAACTCAATTTTTCAGACAACATATATTCATTTATTTAGTTTCAATACTGAGTAAATATTTGTACCAGAGATACTGGAATACTTCTAAATGTTTATCATCAGTCCTTTGCCCCAAGGAAACCGTTTTAAGAAATGTTAATGAGTGCTTTCTATAAGGCAGGTCCTTATACTTGACTATAAGGAATAAGTGATGCATTTGAATTGTTATGTTGAATTGTTATGGTGAATTGTTATGGTGAATTGTTATGTTGAATTGTTATGGTGAAGAATACTGAAAATGCCATGGACTGCCAGAAGAGTGAACAAATCTGTCTTGGAAGAAGTATGACCTGGGTATTCAGTTCCTTAGAAGTAAGAATAGCCAGACTTCTTCTCATGTACTTTGGTCATGTTGTAAGAAGGGACCAGTCACTGGAGAAGCATATTGTGCTTGTTAAAGTATAAGCCAAAAAAAAAAAAAAAAAACACTGCTATCCAGTCAATTTGTTAATTGCCAATTTCAACTCATAATGACCTCCTTTAGATTTTCCAGGTGGTAAATCTTTATGGAAGTAGATTGACCAGTCTTCCTTCTGCAGTGTCTGATGGAGTTAAACCACCAACCTTCTGGTTAACAGTCAGATGCCTTAGGCACTTTGCCACCAGAGCTCCTTTGTGAAAGTACAGGGTCAGCAAAGAGGGAGAAGACCCTCAATGAGATCTATTGACACAGTGCCTGGACTACGGGCTCAAGCACAGCAAATGTTGTAAAGATGCAGTTGGACCAAGAAGTGTTTTGTTCTGTTGTACACACGGTCACTATGAGTTGGAGCCAGGTCAGTGATAACTAACAACAACATGGTGTATTAGAAGTTAAATTCTGAAGCATGTGGTTTGTGAAAATCTGTGATCTACAGTGGGACTTCTAACTCTATTTTGAGTCTTGACACAGTTCCAAAGGCATGTGGATTCTCTGTGACCTTTACACCAACACTGTGGCTATGCATAGACAAGTCCTTCGACAAACCTAGGCAGGGGTGCTTTGCCTTCAGGAAGACTGTGGTTGAAAGTATACTATAATCATACAAAGAACTGGGGTACTTACTTGGGTGTGTCCTTATCTAATTTAAATTCAGGTTGGGGGCCTGGTGTTTTCTAGTAGCCACCTTATGGCTATGACTCAGGCTGTTT